CAAACAGAATTATTAGTCATTTTGTATCTTATTATACAAAACTGCTTATAGAAATACTAACCGTAACAATTCAAATAAACATGTTTACCGTATGAATTAACCGTTTTTTACCGTCTAAAATAATATTTTACCTGTAATGTAAGGGAAAACATTGAAACGATTTGCGCACACAAAAAAGAAAAGAAACCATTAAAAGAAAGAAAATATAGCAACAACGAGAAAAAAGAACAAAGTACCAAGAAAAATTATTATCATGATTTGACAGATGATCCATAATTGCCGAAAAGAAAAACAAATCATTTATACAAAACAATAATTGTGTTATATATATATCATGGCGTACGAAAATGATGATACGAATTAACACTGGGTGAACACTAAAGAATAACAGAGTAAATGCAAAACTATAAAAATGCTCTTCAATATGTTATCATTAAATAGTCAGAAAAAAAAATATTTTATGAAATTGTACCGGGTGTCAAAATATCTAAAGTTGAAGAAAGATCTAGTTCTATTAATTTGATTAAAAAAAAAAGATCAATTACTAAAAATCTATACCCGGTATAAGTGTTTTAGGAAGATCATCTAATATTTCAATAGCATTTGATGGTTGATTAAGTTCTGCTGTTACAAGTACACAATCATCATTGATTAGATTACAATTATCCTCATTAGATTCTGTTTTGATGCGTGTTTTATGCGTAGAAAGGAATTCACGAGCGTAACGAGTAACTGGTTCATCATTGTACTCGTCTGATGTTCTGAAATACGTTGGTGGTGAGGAAGATGATAAGTTGAAGTTAGTCATATGATCAGATGATTGAATGTTATCGTTTGGTGTTATTGAATCATCCTCACTAAAACAAAGTGGATCAGCTTGATACAAACGCTTTAAAGCTTCAGTTGTAAGATTGCCTTTATCGATTAGACAAAAGCAACCATATTGTTGTTGATCGTATAGTGATCTTTTTAATCGAGAGAGTGGGACTCGTTTACAAACGATAAGAAAACTGGAAGGGTCTGGATTACGCTTTACTTCCACACGACTTAACAAACCCCAACGCCTAGCATGTTGTTGTACGACTGGCCAGAGATTTTTGGGAACGACAGTAGGAAATATGCAAATCGGTGAGACTAAAGCTGAAGCAGCATACGCCTGAAGATAGCTTTCTATTATGATAGGCGACGAGAATCGATTAGTACAATTTATTCCATCATGATTGTTAACAGTATCTGAGCCTAAAGAAAAATAAAATATACAAAAGTTTATTTATTCAAAAATTATGTTATTTTATAGTTCTGAATAGTGATAATCAGTAAGCAGTCACAAAACGCACAAAAACTGTATACTGAACAATCAACATCTTTTAATTAATGTGAAGTATCCTGGCTAATAGTATTGGGTGAGGTCACATCCCATGGTAAACGGAATTCGCAGAATACAATCACGAATTCTGAAGTAGTTATAAGCCAACATTAAATAAGGATTTGGAACGCCACAGTGAAAGGATCAACAGTCAAATAATAAACGTGAGGGTGAAAATCACTAGGGTTTTAAGTTTTAATGATTAACTATTAATGATCAGAACGTCTTACTTCAATTCAACTACCGTTATTGGAAATAATATATTCGATAAAGTTGTAAGCGGATATTTTAAATTGAGAAGAGATTAGGGAGCCATAATTTTTATAGGGAACAAGGAACACTAATGTATCATATAAGTTGGTAAACTTCGCTCAAGAATTTATGAGTAAATTACGTACCATCACAAATAAGATGTGTTGGAGATAGAGTTGGAATTTCACAGTGAGCTTCTAGTTGTTCAAAATGTATTGGTGAATCCAGTTCTTCTTTACCCCACATGAGATTTTCAACCATGAGGTATTCAGGAATTCCCCAGAGAGATGAAGTAGTGTCATCTTCGAATTCTTCTGCAATAATAATTCACAATGCATGGAAGTTATATGGTTTACAGACATCAAATTATTAGCAAGATAAACAACACAAAATTAGAACAGTTTTAATACTATAACAGATCTTCAAATTGTGAACATCAAACATTATGTACAGAGGTAGTACAGACAATTATCTGATTACATGAAGTTGAATTAATTTATTAGTACTGTATGAGAACAGAAACAATGAATAGCAATAATATGTGAACACTTGTCTCTATTTTTATAAAATACCTGTTACAAAATTCAGTAATATAAATGAGTCTGTAGTCCCATCATCAAATGGCTTTTATCATTTAAGTTAGATAAACTCACCAATAAAACAGAAGTTGTCATTACTGTGGTCCAATCAGATAAGTAAATAAATATTCCTATGATTTTCTAAAATTTTGACTTACGCATTTTCATCCAAAAAATCAGATATATGCAAACCCTATTAGATGTTGAACAAAAAAACTACAAGAAATGGAAGTTTCTTATTTTAAACGGTAAACTGGACTGCGAGTGACAGACAGTGATGCCTATATATATATAGACCGATGACAGGGGAATTACAAACTAGTAAATAAACGTTTCGGTACTGCGATTATAAGCGTGAAGCGAACTTATCGGACGTTAGGCGAATATTTCATCACAACAGTTCATGATACAGAGGTTAGTAAATATATGATATAAAAATAAGGAGAGGTAGTTTTATTTGATGTTTCTCCAATTTATAGTCCTAGGTATGAAAAATAGGAGTAATACCACTTAATATTCATGCATAAACATTAGGATGAACATCTTTCAACTGATGTTTATGGAGTTTGTAGAAGGATGGAGACCTAAATTTCCACAATAAGCCACAAACTTTCACTAATTAGGACTAACTTCATTTTTGCAGTAACCATTAATCGAAGAATGAAGTGATTAACCAAAGCGTTTTGAATGGTTTGTTTGAATTTTCCAGTGACTTGCCTTCTTTGTAGAAAGCTACAGTTAACTCCAACAGGCATATTCTAGACAGAAGAGCAATGTTTTGCCATATATTTGTCTTGTGATAAGCATGTGAGTACACTGTTTGCATTATGAGTGATGCGTAGTAGCCAATATTGAATAACCTCTCTAGAGACACCTGAGATTTTCTTGGTAGACGATAAATGTGACTGTTTGATGAGAAATGCAGCAGTAACAGAGAACTCTGCTTGTATATTATTATTAATGTTGGAAATCAGCCCTTGAAAACCATTAGGCTGAAATGTATGTGATAGTAGGGACAACGGTTACTCTCGACATAACTTGTTAGTAAATGCACCGCAGAATCTGGAAAGTGTGTACATCGGTGCCCCATTAGTACAGTGAGGTGGATTTGCTAATCCTAAAGTATCAGGGGTAGTAACAGTATTAGTGGTGATAGAAGAATTAGGCATTGAAGATGGTTTTGGGAAAAAAATATAAATTCGTAAAAAGATATTTATTAGCAATTTAGGATCCAGGGGAAGACAAAGTGTGAATGCACCTGGCTTAAGGCAAACGATCTTGACTCATGCTATTCGAAGTTGCTAATCATCGGTTACGATAATCACGGGGATCCCAACCAGGTAGCCTGAACCTACCTACAAGACTAAGTCTAATAATCAATTTCCTCATGGGCTGGAGTCAGGTTTTGGCTTGACATCTGCTAGCTTTTTTCTAGTCTGCTCCTACACAAAACAATACAGCCTGTCAAGAGAGGTGGTTGCGTATACGTAACACATGTCTCATCCACCTTAATTCGAGGAGCAGTTAATTAAGCTGTTTGGAGTTATCTCTACTGAAACAATCCACCTGGATCAAATAACTTAGACGTCATAATCAGATAAGTATGCGGCTTAAAATGAACTCTAATACACAAGTTTTAGATTGTGAGATCTTTGTCTGGGAAAATTGTAATGATCTCTGTCAGTATGGGGTTATGGAGATTGTTGGGTTTTATTCAAATCACAAAGCAATGCAAGTAAGACAACCACTGAAAACCCGGAAGCATTGGACGTTCACTTTATACTAGTACGAGACTCTCCAGTAGTGCGCATTGTTTTTGTTACTGGTGGGAAAAATTTGAATATAAGCCGTTAACAAATAATTAAGGAAATTCAAGAAAGAATTTACCATTTAGAAGTGTACTACGAGATAGACCCAATTATTAATAGTTTGTTGAAAGATGGTAATGCACTTAATTATTTACAATTACTGCAATAGACGAGACTTGTGATGATTGTTCTGAATAGTGCGGTAAACTGAACCGAGACCAGATTTGACTGAAGACATGGATAATAAGTCCAAACTTCTCATGACATAGCCTGACGTTAATATACTAATGCAACCAGAGTACTTTTTAACTGTCAAAAAAGCCGATATCAAACTGTTAGCAATTTTTGAAAAAAAAATCGAAATGAGGATTGCATTTAAATACTCTCGACGTGAGAATAAGCAAATATTTAGCGAACGGTTAATACACATCCATCTTTGAAAAAATTTATATCGATGGGATTGGTAGCTAAACGGTTGTCTAAAGTCAGATTTAGGATATAAAGCTAAGTTACGAAATGCAATGTTACAGAGTATAGCAAGTATGGGGCAAACCGAATTTTGAAGTGGGACTCATCAATATGGTCTACCTAATTATAAAAAATAGTTATTTCAGTCAATAATTAAATTCCTTCGTCATGTGACACGTTAGACCACATAGCAATAACAGAAGAGTGAGAAATAACGTCAGTAACTTGAGATCATAGCAACAAAATAAAACCGATTTTTGTTCAATCGTTTCCAGGTGAATCGATAATATTATCATCGTCGATTCAGGATAATGGCAACTAATATATATATATATATATATATATATATATATATATATATATATATATATATATATATATATATATATATATATATATATACATTTATATATATATATATATATAAAGGGAAAATTAGAACAAATCAAACAGAAAGATCAGTAGACAACGCACTTGAATCATACATATATACAAAGAGAAAGAAATGATCAAAAAAGAATACTGATTGAAACAAGGCACAGTTTTATACTGAAGAAATATATTCGTATATTCAGAAAACAGTACAATTGGTAATGTATTAAAGGTACAATTACAAAAACTACAGTCAATTAACGGAAAAAATACAGCTGATGACTGGCCTATGGCAACTTTACCTTCCCGTGAGAATATTAAACCAACCACAGGTTGAGTAGCACATAATTTATTCAACAGACTACTCAGTGCCGATTGCTGAGCACCATGAAGATTTGGACTTTCAACGCTTAAACAACGCTGATTATCAATTAATGTATTGCATATAATTTGACCAGTGGTTGTTTGCACTTCAAATTCAAAGCTGACAAGCATTTGACTGAATTCAGCAGACTGGGCCAAAATTCTCTCTAGATGAACCTTTACAAAATCAACAGTAAATTACAGATATGGATGAGGATGCTAAAACGTCATAGTGGTAAATGTATAGATTTTTATATTAGAATATTGGGCAAACTATAACAAAAAATATGAACATACACTGATTGGTGGTTAGATGACATATTTTGATAAATGAGGACTATTGACACAGAGATTTCAATTTTATCAAATTTGATAAAAAGAACGATTTGATTGTTTATAAGGACGATGAAATGTTAAGTGTGTAGCTAAATATACTACGCCAGATTGAGCGTTTTTTTAACTGAATACAGTTTGAAGAACTGGTAAATCCCAGTGTTTATGTTAGATAAGTATTCCATTTGTTTCTTTAACTACTGTTGTTAACCTACATTACAATCGAACTGAGAGAGCTAGATATTGTTGAGAGCGCTTTCTGGATGGATGGCACCGTAAGAGATCAAGAAGACAACGATACATGTAATTGATTCAGTGTAGTGTGGCAACTGTTTGATTTGTACAAGCGCCATTTTTTAACATAGAGAGAGCAGCTCCAAAATAAAAGTGCTAACGATATGACTTAGAGAGAAGTTATGGTGTTGTAAGAATTACTTCGGTGCGTTCTGATTATGGTAAGGATCTAAGAACATTAAAATGCCTGATCAATTACTTTGGGGTTTGAACTGGACAAATTACTTTTTAGCGAGGCATTGAAGGCTAAGTAATTTCAAGTGATATTGAGAAACAGGTCCTAATGAATTAATCACGAAAATCTTAATAACTAAGCACTGTTATCAATGAAAGTAACTATGTTAGAAAAGTTCATTTCATCAACTTTTACTGATTACTTCATGAATCTAGTTGTTAATTTATTTATTATTTATTTTAACACATAGATATTGGTACAAGGAGGCACCAAATACATATGCGCCACACAAATCTCATTCGATGTGTGAGGGCTGTAATACTGCCCGGGTACCCAAACCGAAGCAGGCGGTTTTCTTAGGGGGCCACTCCCCGAGCCTTCGACCTGAAGGTCTGATCCACAAGGAAGTGGAGCATCGTAAGGAGATGCAGTCTCATGGAAGCCGGTGACCAACAATTGGTTCATACGCCATTTGTTCCCGCAGGATACTGGAGCCCATGTGCACCATTGGTTTGGAATCCGGTTGAAGCGCCGGACATTTGCTTTTCGTCCTCTCATTTTCGTAAACAACACCCCCGCCACGAGAAGGCAGTGAGTAGGACTTCCCTGGCAGAGGCTATGTAGATATTAACTAAGTTCCACTTGTACGATTCAGTCTCATGACAGAAGATACTTTCATTGAATCGGAGTGTGTAAATTACGTAGTCCTGTTCGATCAGGGTACAGAGATGTGGCTTCCTAAAAACAGTACAAATTTTATCTTAGGAATGATCTATGTTTATCCACAACTTGGAATAGGGAACAAGGTTACTGAGCGTGCTTGGTAATCCATTTATCTTGGGAGCATTATCAGCACTGGTTGATTGTTACCTGACGTCTCAAAGGGGATAAAAGCCACATTTGAAATTTGCCAACAAATGTTGTACGCGGGTAACGTTCAGCTATCTATCAGAGAGTATATTTTGTAAGTCCACTACATATTACATCATAAACATGGGTTGTTTGAAGACATTCAATCATGAGTGTCTTTTAAGTAGTGTTTGATCATGGTTGAATCAGCAAGTCCACAAAGTACTAGATGAATATGATAAATAGGATTATAAAGTATTGAGCGTCTATCTATCGATATGAATAGAATAGGTATTACACAGATTCAGCCTCCTCCTCTTCTCATGTAGAATCATGTTGGGTACCATAAAAGCTGTTAAAAAGGTTAAAGATGATAAGACCAAGATATGAGATTGTTTTCATGAAGTTTCTGGTAGTTAGATTGAGTCGTACAAAACGTCTATAATACAGGAAGCACGAATAAAGAGTTTAGAACATAGTTTTTATTATGATGCATCAACTGAAAACTATTTACTAAGATAGGAGTTTAGACGGACATAATCACAAACATTACTTATTTTTTTCTAATCCAGTAACATTCCTAATGCCGTTAGTACTAAATAATAAGAATTTAGTACCTGATCATGTAATTTTTCTTTTGGAAGTTGCGCTAGATAAATCCACATATCATCAAATGGTTTAGGGGTGAATACTGTGGTGATGCTCTCATCACCCTCAAAATCACCATCTTTTTCGAAGTCGGATTCAAAAGGATCCTTGAGAAATGGAGATAGTTTAGGAACTATTTCAGCTTTCGGACTTAAACATAAAACCAAGTATTCCACCTCCTCCCACTGACGTACAGATCCGACGAGGAAACAAGGTCGAGATAAAATCTGAAAGGCCTAGAATACAAGCGAGAGAATGGTTATATTAAAGTTTTAAATACATGGAGATATATGTCGCAAATAAAAATTTCAGGAGACAAACTCCGTAACTTTATCATGGGTAGAGAGAACAAAACCCGACCGTTGTTGATAAATGCAGCGGCACAACATTTATGAGCTGCCCAGTGCTTTCAGGTTTTCAACGGTTATCTAACTTATACTGATCTCTATAACTAAGCATTTAGTTTTCAACGACCTTTAGAAGAAAGAGTATTATGCTGCTCAATCCGCTCAACGATGTGCTTGAGTTAAACAATAGCCAAACCAAAATAAACGAAGCTATTATCCTACTACGTGGGAAACAAACAAATTAGAATTAATTAGAATAAAGAGATATTTAAGTACTACTGAAAGATATTCTTCATGATTTCCAGTACTTTGGTTTTTAATAATGCAAAGAATTCACTCTAGCTAAATCGACACTTTCAATTATCACTACTCAGGAAAAAGTGATAAAAATTAGAGTAGCATGACTGAATTTTGTAGACAGTAAATATATCTATTCAGTCAAGTGGATGTGAGGATTTCTCTACTTAATTATCCAATGATATTTGGACGACCACTGGAAAGTTATGGTCCATTAGCTAAGCGAATGTCACAACACGTAAATTTCCATTAGAGTAAGGCGTCCAAATTTCACTACATCAATTATGTGTTGAACAAACAAGTTGTATTACCAGCCGTCATACAACAAGCAGCTCAAGGTTGACAGTAACAATTTGTATGTAAGTAAACCTAAGAGTTTCGGAGAGCACTAGGATATTATTTTTAAATGGGGTCTCTCAGAGATACACGAACTAAAATAAGATAGCAATCAAGTATCTGTTATGGTTCGTCAACTGATGTCAGTTAATGATTAAAATTATCTTCAAATAAATGTGAATATTCATAACAATAAGCTAACTAAATTGTCATACCTGTCGCGCAGTGCAGATTTGTGCGAGGGATTTAGACGCAGAAAGTGATTCTGCAATTAGCACATCTCCAATCAAAAGATCACAAGCAATTAATTGTTTGATATCAAATGCTTTTTCGGTATTTGAAATCTATGTAGATAAGAAAATAAATCAAGCAAGTAACGTCGGTTTGTAAGGGCTTAAAAATACGAAACTAACGCGCATGAAACCAATCGCAAAAAGGCTGTGACCAACTTCAAACAATTGTCCCTTAAGCTCTGAGATCACGCCTCCAGGTTTTATGACCTTCTAACCCAGTTTACTTTCCAGACATCTCAAGAAGTAGTTTTTCACGGTATGGGATAGTCACCCTCACACCTCCAAAAATACTCAAGATATTCTCAGGAAAACAAATACGACACAAACAAGCAACGTCTATTTGCAAGAAATGACCGCAAATGCTGATCAAATTATTGTTTGAACTTAGTCCTGACTGAACATTATCAACTATAAAACACGAAATAACATAGTGCTTAGTAGCTCTTCAGTAGATATTTGGATATCTGTAGAAGGCCATGAACACAGCATCTCATTTAATAATTATCAGCAAAATATTCACAATCCTGAGTAAACCCTCTTCTGTCTAAACTATCGTCGATGTATCTCACTAATAATCATCGAGGAACATAAAATTTAGTCTAGTTAACGGTTTTATGCAAACTGCAATAAGACGATTAGTAGTGATAACTTAAGAGCGTAAAGTTACGAAAAAACACTTACAGAAGATAGGTGATTTTGAGGATATTTTTGAACTTCAGTATTCAGAAAAAAGGAACGTTCCCTCTGGGGAAGATCTGTGATTCTTGTAAAAATATATGTGGGTCGAAGGCCAATACTGGATTCAACTACTTGAGCTAGTTCCTTCACAAAGTCAATGGATAAGCCACTACAACTTTCCTTTTCACGAAGAAATAGTTCACTTCCACGCTCCCGACAACATAGCTTTGAATTAAAGACAGATGGTGGGATGAATGAATTGATAGACATTAAGTTTGTATGTTGAAAGAAGATGAGAGTAAAATGTAATGTTACCAACATTTCTCAAGATATAGGATAATTACGATGTTAAATAAATTTACCAACAAATAAAATTTAGCTCACGAAAGAGTGTAGTTTGATCGTTTTAAGCCTGGCATCACACTTCTTAATGAATACTCTAGAGTATGGTAGCAGCTAAATGAACGCAAGTTCGTTTCGATTTCATAAAAATATGCAATGAAGATCTTATCGGAACCATATTGATGATAGTTCTGCAGAAAATGAACCAAACAGAGCTTTCTATATATTCTGAAAACGCACAAATTTGGCAATACATCAGCCATCAGTTCTTTACAGATAAACACTTCTCGTTAAAGTTTAATGTTCTTTTGAGGGATATTTAATACTTGACTACCCAAAATAGTCATCCCAGTCTAGTCGTATTTTCTTAAGCATTTTTGAGATTGTTATAAATCTCTCTTCTTACGATTATGACCCAGCTATTCCTATTGCTTAGTATTCTCGGACACCGATTCACTCGACAAGTCCCCAAATCAAAACACGGTTGAACAGGAAAGAGATTATATTCCAAATAACAAGGTTAGATGGAAGTAAGAAGCGAGTCAGAAGCACAATAGAGAAATCATCAGTATATTTATAGTTCTTTACATGAGAAGATTCTAGAGTATTCTCCAACTATCGACTAGTGCTGATTGGATAAGAATTAGCCAATCAGCGTGCACCAAAGCAATCGTGAATCGAGCATGCTTTAATCCTGTCTATGTCCCGCTAACAGAGATAAACACCAGTTGTGGAATGTATACGTGATTCAACTAAATATTGAACCTGAGGACTTTAATGTGTAGTGTGGGTGCAAGATAGTTACATTAGCCTTTTATAATCCTTTAAGCTTACAATGTTGAAAAGATTTTTTCTGATTAAGACGATAATAATTTTTTTAAATAAATTAAACTGAGTAAACTAAACAATCAAATAACTGATTGCAGATTTATTATTAGTGACGGTTCAGGAACCTGGCTACCAACTGTCAAACTGCAAATTCGATCCTCCTTCGTTCAAGTCAATTTAGCTAGCCAGTTAGTATCACATACATTTGTATTAGGCGAATGAACTATAACCAATGTACATCAGACTGAGAAGGGTATTCATTGTGTACGGATTAGAAATATTAACCATGTGCTTATGCCCTATTAAATGGAACAGAGATTATGTGGTTTAGCTTAGGTTTAAACTATTGGATTTGGAATTTATTTGAGAAGCCCAGAAGGCTTTATTGAGTTATGTGGCAGGCCAGTATGGGTAGATGTGACTAACATATGAACTACCCCCAAATGCGCTGGTTCGGCCGAGGGTGGGAAGAGTCGGCTTTCTCTCTCAAAATGCTCTCACACGACCACGTGTATACAGCCACTACCAAGGAAGTCCTACTAACCGCCTAGCGACGGGGGTGTTGTTTACGAAATTGAGAGGACGAAAAGCAAATGTCCGGCGCTCTAACCGGGTTGGTGGGTATGGAGAGTTCGCCTAGGGGATTCGGAAAACCCTGATTCCAAACCAATGATGCACATGGGCTCCAGTATCATGAAGGAACAAATGGCGTACGAACCAATTGTTGGTCACCGGCTACCATAGGACTGCATCTCCTAACGTTGCTCCACTGCCCTGTGGATCAGACTTCTAGGTCAAAGACTCCGGGTGTGGCCTCCTAAGGAAACTACCTGCTTCGGTCTGGGCACCCGGGCAGAATCACAGCCCACACGCAAATCAAGTGACTTGTGCGGCGCATATGTATTCGGTGCCCATTTTTACCAATGTTTATGTTTAAATAAATAAATAACATGAATTGCATAGAACAATAAGAAGTAACTCATACTGTAAGATGTATTTTTTATTTGTCAAGCTATTAGCCAAAATCTAGTATCTGATAAGAAAATCTTAACATGAAGATACCTAGGTGACTGAAAATTATCCTGTAAGTACCTGACAAACCTAAAGATATCATGAAATAAGTCGTATTAACATTTAAATTTTGTTACTAAATTGGCACTATAAGCTTTTGACTAGTCTATCTTACAACGATAAAAAATAAAAATTGAGCAGACCATTACTTTATGTCGTTACAATTATTGAAAAAAGCTTAGTCATAATATACAGTGTGGTAAAAATGTGCGTTAGCCCAAATAGACGGACTACAGAACGAAGAAATGAATTATGGGATCTAATATCAATAAGGTAGTAAATACACTACATTGGGGCACTAACACTGATGCCACCTTACACTTTTAATGCATCGTAACAAAGTGGGACTAAGACGATGGCCACTGGTGAGTTAAGGAAAATGTACAGCTTACGCTCACTTACCTGGAGTGCACAGACCATGGCTTGCCTTCTTAAAAGAATGAAGGTGGGGGGTGGAGGAGGCATTTTCACTGATTTATTAGCAGCAGTGGGAGATTTGTTTGATAAATCAGGCGATGAATAGGATAATTGGTTTGTTTGATTTTGTCCGAACTCAGATAACTGCCTATGAGAATTAAAAGCTTCTAGGTCAAGGGGAGATGGGAGCCGACCATAAGTACCATATTTCAAATGTGGTCCCCACTGGCCTAAGCTATGTTGACTGTCAGCAACTGGAAGGGCTAAAGTGGCAAGCATTGCAGATGTTTGTAACTCACTGGGCAGATCTGCGAAGGAGGTGATGCTGTGATTGTGTTGAATAGTCGGAGGTATAGGAAAGGATGTACCTACATGGAAGCTTGTTGTATTGCACGTTGCAGTGGTGCTGGCTACGTTTGGTGGAAAGGACATTGTAGAAGCACTTAGCTGGTTGGCGAAATTCGATGGATACGAAACGACTGCATTAGGCATGGTTGTATTAATGGTGGTAGGGATAAATGTATGATTTGGATACAATGGTAGGCCAACGCCGAAGTTGAAAGCTGTCACATTAGAGTGTAAACCAAGGGGGGTGTTGCTTAAAGTTGGGGAAAGGTAAAATGAAGGGACGAGGGAGTAGTATGGTGAAAACCTACCATCGATTGTGCACAACGAACCCTCTGGGATGAAATAACTTACAGGTGAGTGTGATATAACGCAAGGATTTAGCATTTGAGAATCGGATGGATTAGTGTTGAACAATGTTTGAGCACCAATAATTACTTCTGAACTTTGTTTGAGTTCACTCTCAGGTTTTGATTCAATTGAATGGGAAGCCGTTCGTACATCCATCCCAAAGTTTTGGAAAAACCAATCTTCATATTTTCTAACCCATTCGTCTATTGCTCTTTTGATCTTATTAGAAGAAATGCGGGCACTCTTATTACTAACACCATGATTTAAGAGACCAGTATCACATTGAGTGGAATAGCAGTGGGTGGAGTTGTCATTAAAAGAGAGATCGTTTTGTGCTTCTTCAGAATAAAAACTTTGTTGGGAAAGTAAATTTAGCGCTTCCTCGCTGTACATTTCTCGATTAGGAACTCGACTACTTTTTTCATTTTTGTTGCAACCCAGATATTCAGAAACTGACTGATCTGGGTTGTACGAACACGATTCAAAATCATTCTGTTCTTCTGTCTGAGTGGAAGCATCCTTTTTTATCACAGATTTATCTTTTTTGTTTGGATTGTTTGTTTGCCTGACAGTACCACCATGAGCATGATCAAGCACAGCCTTGAGGAAGGCTTGAACGTGTGCATCAACTTGTTTGCGCCTGTCATGATTTTCATTTGATTCCTCATTGGATTCACTGTGTTTGAACTTTTTAGTCGCATGAATGTGATCTGTTAAAAGTACGAGGAATGGCAAAATAAGTCGGAAAGACAATGGAGTTGTTATTGAATTTCTATACAGAAGCTGTAAAGGTTAACAACAGATAAACAGAACCAAAGAATTTCAGACTAATATGTCCGTTCAAGCTACTACACTTATTGATAGTAGACAAGGTGTTACAAAGGGAATAAAGTGGAACGAATGGGAATAGTATAGAGGGATAGTAAACATCTATGCGCACAAACCTTACGTAAAATATGTGGAGAAAGACAGATACATTTGTATTACTATGATTTCACTTACATTGCCTACAGTCTTCAGCCCATAATTTCCAACATTTGAAATTCTAGTTACAAAAGCACATACTTTTGGGTTCGGGCCCGCCCCACCTACATTGGTCAGGGCAACTTAGTAGTATTAGTCCTCACACTTAAGGTGAGGCTCATACCCAAGTACATAATGAGTGAGCTAATGCAATTTAACGTTTGAATATTTTTAAAACCAATCAGTAAGATACACAGATCCTTTACTGAAGCCTTATTATATTGCGCGCTATGGTGTGGTATTCTAGCAAATTCAGGACATTTCAGTAACTATAATTAGTGCAACAAAGACCTGGATATAAGTATATTACGTCCCACTTAAACTTCGATACAGTGAATAAACATAAATTTATCTACTTCAAAAGCTTTATTTTTTATTAGCGGGTACAAAACTCGTCTTCAGTCAAGAGGAACAATAACCTTGGCCGAAAGAGACGATTATGGGAAAATTGGTTGGACTTGGCATCGAAACCTATTACTTAACCAAGCATTCGATTATCACGACGCCTGAGCGACTTACTAATAAATCGTCATGAAGATGAAATTTCGAAAATAGAAATGACAGGACCATTTGAGATTTGGCAATCAAACTGTTTTATTATGCTAGAGTGAAGTAACTGTCATCCATATATTTAAAAGGGGTAAAGCATGTCACAATTATCGAGGTAAATGTTTGCCTTCAACTACATATGAAATATTGGTTCCCTTCATGCTGTGTAGTTTGTGCAGAACATAATAAAGACTGCCTAGGAAGTAGGTTGGTTTCGTCAAAGTTTTGGATGCCTTAACTGAGTATCCCCGCTTGTCAAATGTTTGGACATTGTCATCTTTAGAGCGGTTGCGACGTTATTCTGGTCGTAAATATTGTCCATGAAAAGTGCTGCTTATTGCTCATGGGAGCTAGGTTGTGAGGAAAGATGTTTGGTGAGTTTCTATGCTTAATCACTGCAGAACGGCACATATTGCCGAGGTCAGGCAGTGTGTTTATGAGTATTGAGGATCACCGAATTGATGTGATCTTGGAAAAACTGCGGTAGATCGAGGACGTATTTTGAACTCCATTTAAGAGGCTTCTACATTTGACTTGACGATAGTAGGTATGGTTAGTTGTGGAACAAAAGGTAGACATACTGGATTGTCATGGCTGAGTTAATGGCAGTTGTGGCATAGCTTGCTGCCGAATTCTCCACAAAGATGAGGTGGATCTACATGAATGAGATGAGTTTCTTGATTGTTTTAAATCAAACTCCTTTAAAAGCCCTGGTACGGCTGAGGGTGGGAAGAGTCGGCTTTCTCTCTCAAAATGCTCTCACACGACCACGTGTATACAGCCACTACCAAGGAAGTCCTACTAACCGCCTAGCGACGGGGGTGTTGTTTACGAAATTGAGAGGACGAAAAGCAAATGTCCGGCGCTCTAACCGGGTTGGTGGGTATGGAGAGTTCGCCTAGGGGATTCGGAAAACCCTGATTCCAAACCAATGATGCACATGGGCTCCAGTATCATGAAGGAACAAATGGCGTACGAACCAATTGTTGGTCACCGGCTACCATAGGACTGCATCTCCTAACGTTGCTCCACTGCCCTGTGGATCAGACTTCTAGGTCAAAGACTCCGGGTGTGGCCTCCTAAGGAAACTACCTGCTTCGGTCTGGGCACCCGGGCAGAATCACAGCCCACACGCAAATCAAGTGACTTGTGCGGCGCATATGTATTCGGTGCTCCTTTGTACCAATATTTGTGTCCCAATCAAGTAAAATAAAACCTTGTTAGAATTCTGTCGCCATAGTTCTGTTAAGTGAATCGCACGACTTCCTGTGTAGTATGGGTATCTATTAAATGAACAAAACCCCGTACTTTGTGACACGTGGCCACAGGTTCACTAAGCCACCAAATTCAGCCTGTTGATAAGAGGCAAAAGCAACTACGCTGAAATACACTAAAATCCAAAGAACTATAGACTCCACTAGGACTACTGAGTTTGTGACGGGACTAGAATCACTTAAGACAGGACCGTTTCCCGTCATCAGTATGAACGTAAAACGACCCACCCGCTAACTGTAGACAGTCTAAACGAATGAAGGACGCTAGCTGGATTACCTTTTAGGCCAGCTATATTCAATGAGGGTTCCGTAACAATCTTTAACATTTCCCCTCTATATGTCTTTTAAGTTATAAAGAACCTTTTCAATTGGTTAGGTCACCTGGAACGGTTTGGTACACAACTCCAAACTAAGTTAAGTTCAGACACGCGAAACAGAACACTAAAAACGGGTATTAATACCCAGTGTTGGTACATAATAACTTGATGTACTCGAATACATTAGGTTATATTGTACCATCTTTAATTTGGGAACATTATTAGCAGAAAACATTAGAAATCACCTAAACACCTCTATTTAAAAGGTAGAAATAAGAACAAAAAACATAACGCACTCAATGTAGGCATAGATTAGACAGACAACATACCAACACGTTCAGACATCAGGAACGCTATTTTCAAACGTGAGTTACGAAAGTTGGTTCATAAGAATAAACAAATTTTCTAAGTTAAAAATTTTCAGATGACTGGAAATGGAATATAAACTTACACAAAGCAAGCTTTCAGTTAGTGTAATCGTACACTTTAATTACATTCTGTTAGACAACTGAGTATGTGAAAGTAGAAAGTGAAACATAAAAGAAAAATGTTCTATATAATTGAAAATTATTAATTGAGTCTTCAGTAAAGCACTAAGTTGAATTTTCAAGGAACAGAATAGCACTGCTGAGAGTGCTGTAATATTAGGGAATACCAAGAAGTAATAACTAATGTACGCAGCTCTGATCCATTTCTAGCTGTTTGTTTATGGTCATCTAGTTATTAGGATGTAAGTTTGACGACGTTTCAATAGATGATCAAGAGTTTTACGAACACCACAGGTTGCTAAGAAGTTATCAGTTAACTTTATATCTGTGGATAAAATAGCAGAAATCTGTCACATGTTAATTAGTTATAGACCTCCACATCGACTTGTCATCGAGTTCACTCGGATCAATTCCAGTTTACTTCACCTGTATTAAGAAACACAAATCATTTGATGCCATTAGATACCCCTTTTCTTTTGAAACAATATGCCTATATTTGTCTTCCTTCTTCAACTAACGAAGCAGTCACTCTGATGAATAAAACTTTCCAGATAAAATAAGAGACAGCAACACAGGAGCTAGTGCACAAGCGATTGATTTCTGTTTTGTCACTTTGAAATTCCGTTGGTTGTTCGCCTATAATTTTTTTGTGGGTGTTGACGACTGTTGTGTCGAAGAGTGCTGAGTAATACATTAAACAGAAAGGGAATCTTTATTAATCAACTAGGGTTCTCAAACCTTAGATATCTGATGACTGCATATTGCAACTCTCTGATACTATCCATTTAGGTCTGACTGATTTGGATAATTAAGTATTCCCATCACAACTGCTTTCAATTCTGTTACGTTGTATAATGACTGAGGGTTTACCGTTCTGCATCCTTAACTCCCGGAAATCGCTCATCACGTGATCCGATGATGATATTTTATCAATCTTCAACTGGGTCTTTGAATGTATATCTGGTGCTTTGTGGAAACTTTTGATAATTACCTACACTTAAGAAGCATCCAGGAGGGAACCCGACCACATTAAAACATGTAAGTTGGTTCTGAGAAACTTCCTATTCATTTAGACTGTGAAGCCGATATTAATCCTTTAAAATTTCACAGGCTATGTAAAATGCCACGTTATTTCGGAATTTGCTACTGTTTCAGCTAAGAGTTCCCAACTTTACATAGTCGTTGGAAGAGACGAGGAGCACTCACTCGAGAGACCTTATGTAATTGAGTTTTCTGCAAGATTATGTGAGGCTTTAAAAAATCTTTAAAGTTCATGAATTTTCAGCAGGAAGTTTCAGCCGCTTATACACTGGCAACCCAAGTCCACACAGTAGTAAGGCCTAGTTGGCAAACTCATCTATTCATCCTTTAAGCAGGTTGATCATTCGACCATATGGTTCTGTTTTATCTGTCAAACTGAATTAAGTTACTCCGCCGATCACATGGATAGGAGTTTTAAACATTTGAATGCGACCTTGAACAGGTAAGGTGGAAGGCTTGTCCTCAGCCTGATAAAAACACTCACTGGGAATTACTACCTAACACTGCATTATTTATTGCTATTCAGTGACTTCAGAAAGGGTTCTTACAACATAAAAACATTCTGAGGTTTAACACAATCATATCTTCAGACTGGCAAAACTTTGGAAGCACTATATTCCATTATCCGTAGCAAATTTATACACAGCAGAGTACAATGGATCTTTCGGGAAACGTTTGATTGGGTCAGTTGGAGTGTTCTAATCTCCAGACTCAAGCACCTAGATATTCGGCTACAAATAATTAATCGGTTTGACTTTTTTCAGTGACTAGCTAGTTAGAGTATGGTAATTATTTTCTCAGGATATTAAACGTCTTAATGTGGTCTCTCTGGGTTCAGGATTAAGATATTCCCTCCCTTTGACTTATATGAATGACCTTTCGCGACGGGTACCTTTCGTAATAGTTCGTCCTGATGATAATTCACAGCTTCCGGAAAATCTCCACAAGAAGGATGGCAGCTTAAGACCTTAGGGGGTTCTGACCAGTCTTAAGAATTGAGAGGACGACAACTGATTGGCAGCAGCAACACGACAAGAATGGATCAATGAATTAGTTGATCATATTTTCATGAGGTGTTTTTGTTACGTGATGATCAAAATATACACATAAAGGTTTCTCCCACTTGAGCATTGGACCACATGCGAATGCTAAAATACGAATTGTACGGCTCACGGCTTAGAAAGCAATTTTATACAGATTCAGTTTAAATTGTTCTCTAGACTATCGAACACAGAGACTTAGCCTGGCCAAAGTCAGAAAACGTAATCTATTTGGCTTGATAAATGTGATCTGCTTCTAAAACACAAATCAACCTTGTTAGTATACACAATAAAAAATTAATAAAGTCTATTAAACAGGGAAAAAGAGAAACAGTCAGAAACCATTGCGCTTAGACTGTGTATTCACAAACGAAGAATTTCTAGTTGACAACCTCTCAATCCTGGCTCCCCTGGGAAAAAGCGATCATGCCGTCATAGCCTTCAGTTCTGTCAGCAAACCTAAGCTAAGATACCCCACCAATAACTTGCGTTGGAATTTTAAACGGTTAAATGTGCCAGCTCTACACGACTATCTACAACAGGTGGTTTGGGATGTTCACCCTCAACTCGATGTGGACGGTCATTGGGACTTCTTACTGCACACGCTCTTACGTGCTACAAACCATTCAGTTCCTCAAACAGTTCGCAAGAGCTGCAAGTCACCTACAATAATCAAGAACCGTACCCTTCGCCTGCTAAGCCGCAAAAGGCACTTTTGGGCGGAATACAAACGAACTGATGACGACGGAGCGTACAGGCAATATAAAAATGTAAGAAACATATGCACGAAGGCTATAAGAGATGACAGGCTTCAGTACCAGACAGAGCTTATGGACAAATTTGCCTCTAATCCTAAAAGCTTATTCCGTTATGCAGCCTATCTTCGTCAAGCCAAAACTGGAGTTTCCCAACTGCTAGGTCTTAACGGCCCGACCAACAACGATGGCGATGCCGCTAACCTTCTGGCTGAACATTGCTCTCGGACATTTCAACTGACCCACATCAACTTTACTGATGACAGTTTCATGTACAATTCTAAAGGACTTACCGAAGTGAACCCAAGCGCTGACTTGGTGTTCCGGAAATTGCAGCACTTCAGATTAGACACTTTTCCTGGCCCGGATATGGTCCATTCTGCCGTACTGAGGGAAGCAGCCTCAATCCTGGCAATTCCGCTTAGCGTGATGTTCTCACACTCGCTAAGCCGAGGCAAACTACCGGAAAATTGGAAGTTGGCTCACATCACACCAATTTACAAAGGAGGTCGACGCAATGAACCTTCAAGTTATCGGCCGGTGGCTCTTCTGTCATTACCTTCAAAACTCATGGAGTCCCTGATATGCCACGGCTTAAACGACTATCTGCTGTCCTTAAATTTCTTCTCACCTCAACAGCATGGTTTCAGGAAGGGTTACTCTTGTATAACCAACCTGTTGACTGCGGTGGACAGATGTACAAGCATCCTTGATCACAAGGGGAAGGTTGATATCATTTACCTTGATTTCTCAAAAGCTTTTGATAAGGTTAACCATACATATATTATCAATAAGCTCAGACGATTGGGTATCAGCCCACCTCTAATCGATTGGCTTACTTCATACCTAAAAAATCCACACTTTAAGGTCAGAGTTAATTTTACTTTATCTCAGGCTATGGAATGTCCTAGTGGGGTCTCCCAGGGTCCAGTTCTAGGACCTCTTCTCTTCTTGATCTACATAAATGATCTTCCTCAACAGGTAACGTCAGACATTACTTTTTGCCGACGACGTGAAACTTTGGAGAGAGATACGCAACCAAGACGATATACAGGCACTTCAGGAGGATCTGACTCGACTTCAAAGTTGGGCAGACGATAACGGACTTACCTTTAACACTTCAAAGTGTAAAGTAGTCCATCTGCGACATGTCGCAGACTACAGTTATAATTTAGGAAACTCCTCTAGTAGTATCCCAAGTCGAAAAAGATTTAGGAGTCCTGATGTCCCATGATTTGAAGTCTTACGCTAACTGTGACAAAAATGCCTTCCGAGCAAACCTTGCACTGGTAACGTTGAGGCGCATTTTGGGACAGTTTGACGGACAAACTTTCCACACAATCTTCAATAGTTTCATCCGTCCCCATTTAGAGTACGGAAATATAGTGCCTCCAATCACTTAACTTTTACCCACTAGAGTATAGACGTCTTAGAGGTGACCTTCTGATGGCCCACAGTATCCTTAACACTTCTGGACATCCTCTCAAACACTTACTTAAGCTTTGTTCCAACACTAACCTAAGGGATAACACCCAAAAACTGTAGACACAACTTCTACTCCTTAAGAGTTGTCAAACGCTGGAATTCGCTGCCGGTCGAGCTAGTCCAAGAGACTTCCCTGGAGTCCTTTAAGAGTCAACTTGATCTATTCTTAAGGACTAAGGATAGTATCTCACTACGATCGACCAATTTCTTTTTCCTCCTTCATTGTTAACATACCTAGGTTCCTGCCTGGAGGATTTGGTTATCCCCAGGTACTAGACACGGAAGCCTGTTAAGCGAAAGCTTCTTCTATTCCGTCCACAACCATTTGAACTATTTGAAGTCAAGGTCATTTCTGGCGTTGTCCAAGGTTGTTGGTCCGTTTTAGTTCAACTGTCGTAATATGTATTAAAATAGTATTCCTTATGTCTTCATAAACGAACGTACATACATAAACCTGTATCTATATAAGTCGAGGTAAGGACGGACCGTTAGGGGAGATTTAAGCTCGTAATGAAAATGACTTCCCCAAGCGAAAAAGGGGAACTTTTGTGGGACGTGGGAAAATGTCTAAGAGAGCTCAGTGTTAATATAAACAAGATACGTCTAAGTGTCTCCGTTTTTCCTCATTAATGGGTAAATGATGAGTATTTAATCCTTAATTTCCCCATTGAGGTGAAATATCTCGAAATTAAAATTTTCACCTGCTTCAGGATGTATACTTTTCTCAAAAGTTCACATCGTATTGTTTACTTTACGGCAGTATAAACAGTTAGAGTTATTGATTTTGCGCGAAGTGTAACACTTGTATACTGTACATTTAGGAAGTCTGCATTTAATTCTCCAGGTCAACCAAATTATATGCACACTCGACAATGATCAAAGCAGTGGTTTAAATGATAATAATTTAATAACAATTTTTACATGAACGGCCGTAAGTAGTATTTATATCGGGAGGATAGTGTAGTGTAAACATCTTTACAGAATAGTTGTCTTCAACTGTGATTAAGAAGTTAGTGCGAGGTTTACGTACATATATGAAGAAAGCCTATTAGCTCAAACGGAATACTCGTGTATATCAGCGTTTATTTGCTACATCTAGTTGGCCTCAACTTACTCGATGCAAGTCGGAAGTTTAGTGTGGGTTTAAAGAACATATGTGTGACCAAAAAATATTTACATTGAGGGTGATTCGAAGATTTGACTCATTGAGTTAACTCATATATTATTAATTACTCATAGGTGAACTGAAATGGAAAATGGCGACATTCCTTGGGAGAGTTTGGTGTGTATGAACGAGAAATTCTCCAAGATGTCTGCTTTTTTGTTTGACATGGTTGGCAGGAGACTTACTGCCTAGATATAAAAGTTTCAAGCTACTGATCTATCAGAGCTATCTGTCAAACTGAAACCAGATTATCAATTTCAACCATTCAGTCACTTTTTGTGTGGCATACATATCCTTAGGATTGATTAATTTCTAAAAGTAGTTGTTACTCAGTCCCCCTAAATTTCGACACAGGTAAATTGTCCGTCTTTTATACGAATATTCGTCAAGATTAGAACGAATAGTCTGACAGAAATTGGGCGCCGAGAATAGAGAAGTCATTATATGTGAAAATGATATTTAAAATAATCCAGACGAGTTAGGTGGATGAAACGTTGGAATTACTTAAATTTCAATCGCTGAGATTATTTCAAATATAATTTTAACATATTCACCTTTTAATTTGCTTATTTATGAATGTGGGTGATTTTCCTAATTGCCTGATCATTTGTTTCATGCGATTCATAACAGTTAACAATCATGATTTTGTAGGGTATAAAACAATATATTTCTAGCCAGCAACAATGTTAAAGGGTTCAGATGAGAAATAAAATCAAAATAGCAAGTGGCATTTTTGATTCGATGGGTCTAAAGCAAAAATCCCACATGTTAAGGGTTTGGTTATGATAATTTGCTATTCTAGTGTTTGTATTGGTTTTTCTATGTAAATGCTTTTTACGTTAGAGTTGTTTTTGAAGGATAAACCTGAAAGGAAAAATTATGCAGTTATTGTTTTCATTCTAATTACTATTGAAATTTACTTTTATAGTATTATCATTATTGTTATTATTATCTTTTTTCTAATTGTATTTTACCATACTTGTAGTAATTTACGTTTCCGGATCTAACCTAAGGTGATTTCATGTCAAATGTCCAATCGTATTTACTCTGCGTTGTACTCCAAAATAGCAAATTCACAAAATTCTTCAGAGGATTCTGCTTTGTTACCTGGACCATTACTCAGTTTTTTGAAGTCGAATAATACAGATGGATCACAGAACTCTACTAAGGAATCTATAACTCCCACTGAAATCGAGGCACAAGGTCGTCTTACGTCTTGGTTTTATCAAGCTGATGCTGATCCTTTAATGCTTAAAGGCATGTCTCGACAGCAGCGTCTTATGGGGTTTTTCTTATGTCTTCTTTCAGCATCGTTATGTCTTTGTTTGGCGATGCTTTTCTTGCCAGTTATTGCAACACCTTTTGGTATGCGTAAATACGTACTGTTGCATACACTTGGTAGTATTTTATTAATTGGGAGTTTTTCATTTCTTTGGGGCCCATGGAATCACATTAGAAGCTTATTTAGCACTGAGCGCCTGTTTTTTACTTTAAGTTATTTAGTCAGCTTACTTGGTGGCTTATATGCTGTGGTTGTGTGGCAGAGTGCCGTATTTTCAGCTTTGGCCTTGATCTCCCAAATTTGTTTAGTTGTATGGCAAATTATTACCACTATACCTGGAGGTAAAATTGGCTTGAGCGCTTTCTTACGTGGTAGTTTGTGGACAGTAAAAGGGATTTCTAAAGGTCTACCTGTTTAGTTATTTTTGCGTTACATGTTGCTCCCTGTAAAAAAGGGCTGAGATATTTTTCTGACATTCTGTCGAGGTGAATTATGCTAGCCTCATCACTAGATTTTATTGATTTTCTGAAGACGGTTTGAATAATAATTTATTTATATGCAATATCATACTCGCTTTGTTCAGATAAAACAGAAGGGTAAATTTGTATGAAAGTAAACCGTTGGTTCGGATTTTTCTTGATGAATCTGTTACGGATAGGTAGTTGAATAATCTACATACCAACCGACTGTAATACTAATCGTTATCGTTTGTTGAGTAGTGTTGACTGTCCAGAACCTTCGCTGGGAAATTTGTCCAGTAACTGTTAAGACACGTGACAGCCAAAGACCTGACATCCTTTGTACTGAATCTTATGGCGTGTAAGCGTGATCTACTGGTAAGCGATGATCTCGTTTTTCTCGACGAATTCCGAATACTGATGAACGACGTCTGTCAGATTGAATGTATATATTTGTTCATAAGAGTTTTGTTTCACTTGTTGAAGTTCGTCGTAGGATATTTGGGATATTTAGATAGTCAAAGTGTAAATAGTTTGATTAAGATGGAGTGGTGTACACGTGATTCAATATTACAGTGTTTAACTGTCACAAATATGTGTACCTCTATCAGGGAAACTTGTAAACCTTCGGAATGCTGCAGAATTTAATAAAAGGGGAAAACATTAAAACAAATCGCTTTTAATAACATCATTGCCCTCGAGTCCAGCGTCGCCTATCTCACAGTACTTAATTTTACCGATCTGAGCGAGATTTCCACTTAATAGTTCACAGATAGTTTTCAAAAACTGGCTTCAGAACAAACCAAAATGCAGTAAAATCTGGACAACCGTTCAGTGGTGTTTTTCATCTAATAAATATCATATTTGAATAGCCAATAGTCGGTGAAACTCTGATCAACATAAGTCTGGGTAAACAGTTTTTAAAGGTATCATGGGTAAATTTTAATATATGGAGAACAGATAATTAAGTTTGTTAACTGTACAACGCGTAGTATTCCTCTTTGTTGTTAACAAAGCAAAAACCTTAGTGGAGTCCTAATTTTAAATTACTTGGAAATTTCAAAGACTGACCCAATGGAAATGCCACTAAAACCAATTTTAGGAACTTTCAGTCCTTCATTACCATACAACTTTCAAATAGAGAAACTAAGTATTATAAAGCAGTTCAGATAGTGGACTTTCAAGTGCGGCATTCATATTAAATGGTTTAAGATTATGACATTTAATGTTAGTTAGTGCCGATTTTTTCATTGAACTTGTTCATAATATAATAAAGAGGTAGGATATCCACGACTTAGAGGCTTCGATGGGAATAATAGTGTACCATATATGGGTTTATATATTAGACACTTAGTCTCACGCTTGCGTATGGGGAATATTGGGTTTGTGATCAAAGAACTTAACTCTTAGGAATCCACGAGCTCATCGCTTCATTGTTTGTAGCCGGGTAGTGTGGTGAGCTCTCATATCAAAAGCTTTGTTCAAAGCTGAGTACGTAAGGCTGTGATTAGAAAATTAGTTACTTTTGTTATCGTTCGCTTTTTGAGCACTTCATTGATGTAAAATTGTGAAATGTGTTGTTACGCTTCAACAATAAGCAAATGGATTAGCTTTACTCAGATGCGAATAGCCAGACCAAAAATTATGCAAAACAGCCTATTGACAGTTTATACAAATGTGTCGAGATATGCTTTTTAGTTTCATTTCACTGTGACAAAAAAACTAGGTTAGGAAATTTGCTTAAAAAGTCCAGAAGGTATACCCTAGTGGTTTTCTTAAATATATCCCAGTGAATAATGCCTCTGATGAGGGGCTAAGTTGGCGAAACTCATCTGAAGATTATAGTTTCGTTTCATAGTATGTGTTACAGAGCTTATCATGAATAATCAATCATAAATAAAAATGAAAAGATTTTGAGCTATATAATTTTTAAAGGAAATGACATTAACGATATCATGGGCAAATGCTTAACACCAAGGTGTAGTAGTTAACTATGAATTGCTTGAGTTTTGTTCATTCAGACAACTTACGCATGTTCCCTCTCATGGAGGAGCATAGGTCTCGCACTAGCATTCAGCATCGGACTCTTAGTTGCTATTAGTCCTTGTGTCTGCTTCCGATTCCCGTCTCAATTTGTCCTTTGGCCTTCCTCTTCTCCGTTTACTTTCAAGATTCCAAGTTGGCGCTTGCTTCGTGATGCAGTTTAATGATTTCCATATTGTATATTCTATCTACTCCCAACATCTTCCTAATCTCTTCACCCGGAAGCTGATTTGTTCTCTACCACAGTAGGCTGTTACTGATGGTATCAGGTCAACGGACATTGAGTATTTTGCGTGAACAATTGTTTATAAACACTTGTACCTTTTTGATGATGGCTGTAGTAGTTCTCCAAGTTTTAGCTCCATACAGTAAGACTGTCTTGACGTTCGTATTGAAGATTGTGTCTTTGATGTTAGTTGACAGTTGTTTTGAGTTCCATATATTCAACTGTAAGGATGCTGTTCTTGCTTTACCAATCCTCGGCTTTACGTCTGCATTAGATCTTCGTTAATCGATGATGCTGTCCAGGCATGTGAAAGATTCAACATCTTCTAGAGCTTCTCTGTCGAGTGTGGTTGGGTTGGTGTTCTCTGTTGTGTTTGAGGATATTGATTTTTCCCTTGTGTATGTTGAGTCCTACTGGTGTAAAGGTTTCTGCCACATTGGCTGTCTTCACCTGCATTCGTTCGTGTGTGAAATAGAAAGGTCAGATCATCTGTGAAGTTCCATATATTCTAGTTGATTCCGAGCTGTCCATTGTATTCCTTGTTTCCCCTCCGATGTCGAGGTCTTCATAATCCAGTCAGTCACTAGAATAAAGAGAAATGGAGAGTAAACAGCCTTGTCTGACCGCGATCCCTACTTGGAATGTATTTGTCAGCTGTCCTCCATGCACGCCTTTGCACTGTAGTCCGTCGTATGAATTCCGTATAATATTGACGATTTCAGGTACACTATAGTATTGAGGTTTCCATAATATTCTGCTTTCCACACTGTCAAACTTTCTCACAGTCAAGGATGTTAATGTTTAGTGACAAGTCGTGCTCCATTGATTTCTCAAAAACGATGCGTAATGGTGCAATTTGGTCTGTGTACGACCGATCTTTACGGAATTTAACCTGATTATCTGGAAGTTGGGCGTATATAGAGTTTTTCATCCGGTTTACCAACGCTCTGTTGAAAACTTTTCCTAGTACCGATAATAGTGTGATTCCTCTCTAGTTGTTTCATTTACTCAGATATTTCTTTGGTACCTTGATGAGGTGTCCCTCTTCCAATCTGTCGGCATTTGTTCCTCCTCCCAAATCTTCTTGGATAAAACGTGGAGCATGTTTTCATTTAATTCTATGTCTGACTTCAGTGCTTCAGCTGGTAAATTGTCAGGTCCTGTTGCTTTTCCGCTCTTGATTTGTCTGATGGTCATCCTGAATTTTTCGACCGTTGATGTAGTGACACCTAGAGGGAGGTCTGTAGGCGCTGCTTCGGTGTCCGGTGGATTCGATGGAGCTGGTCTATTCAAGATTTCTTCTGTCCTTGAATTTCAGTGATTGGCTTTCCTTTGTACTTGACCGGTCTCTTTGGTTTACTATATCTAAAACAATTAGTCCCTTTGATAAATTTCGATAATGATATTAGAAGACGAAGATTATCAGAACTATGTGATATATTAGCGCAATACATTTCGAACAATCTGGTCACACATATACTTGTTAAGAGCATTTATATATAAAAATAAAAGGTCAACTAGACAGGAAACGGGGTAAGAGGAGATAAGGATAATGATAAGAGTAATAATAATAATGTGAACACAATTTGAAACCTAATCACTCTGGATAATAAGTCAATATTACCAGGGTAGGTTTAAGGTAAGAACAAACTGTTTTTGAACACATAAAGGGGGTTTGAATTTTCGTATGGCTAAGGCTTCAATGAACCTTAGTATACGCCCTTTTACACTTTTATACAGCACTACAAAAGCTGAATTTAGATCAATCTTGTGACCTGTTTCAATTATATGTTTAGCAATAGAGGATGATGGATGTTTATCCTCTGCTCTTATCGGGTCACTCGATTGTATTTGTTTCTGAAGCCATTTGGGTACATGTTCACTCACCCTAATGTTGAGATCACGATTACTCCTCCCTATGTATGTGTGACCACACACACATTTAAATTGGTAAACACAGTGGGATGTGACGCAATCGTTTCCATGTACTTTAGGTTTTGAATGAAGCATGCACCTTGTTCTTTCTTTGATGATGACCTTTGCTGCGCAATAGGTTTTATTGATGACTGATTTAAGTCGTTGTTTCAGTAAAAGGCTATTTGAATCACCTCTGAATGGTAAGGTGATGTAGACAGGCTTTTTCTCTACCGAGGCTATAGTAGGTCTCGCTGAACCATGGACTTTCCATCTATTTATGAATTTCAGAGGATAGCCATTTTCTATTAACGTTTTATTTAACAACTTAACATCATCATCAATGGCGTCATTGGTACAAATACGGTCGAGTCTGTTGAAAAGACACCTTATCAAACCACGTTTGTATTGCACAGGGCAATAACTATAATAACTGAGATATTGACCTGTCCACGTTGGTTTTCTAAAAATAGATCGCTTTACTGAACCATCTTCTCGTCTACTCAGGAGTATATCTAGGAAGGGAAGCTGATCGTTTTTCTCCTCTTCACATGAGAGACTAATATGGTTTTGGAGAGTGTTGAGTTTATTTAATAAACCGTACATATCCTCTTTTCTCTCACAAACAACTAAGATATCGTCCACATATCTCTTATAAAGTGACATGTTTCCGATTAATTCATCAGTCTGATTTTCAACATGTGCCATGAACACATCTGCTAGTAATGGTCCTAGCGGACTACCCATAGCAACTCCATCAATCTGACGAAAGTATTCACCTTCAAAAGTGAACTGAACTTTGTCAGTACATAGTAATAGTAGATCTTTAAGAAGTTTTACAGGTACACGTGATTGAAAATTGTTTTCAGATATGTAATCACATAATATATCAATGGTTTTTTTTAAAGGTACATTTGTAAACAAGGAATTTACATCAAATGAACACATTGTCTTTTCCTTGATATTAATATCATCTAACTGATCAACCAGTTCAAAAGAATCCTTTAGAGAATACTTACATAGATGTCTTCGGAAAGGATCCAACAACTTTGCTAACCATTTAGCCAGATTATGAGTAGGTGATCTGCACATTGATAGAATTGGACGTAAAGGAACGTTAGGTTTGTGAATTTTAGGCAGTCCATATAAATGAGGGTACTCGGAACCCATAGGTTTTAGAAAGTTAAATTCCTCTTTATTAATAATATTCATGAGAAGCAATTTTTCTAGGTTTGAATTTACTCTTCTTTCTAGTTTGCTGATACCTCCAAATTCAACATCAGGCATAAATTTACTGTCATCACTAAGGATAGATAACATCTTACTTTTATATTCACATTTATTCATGATAACTACGCCTGATCCTTTATCAGGTTTTAACAAGACAATATCAGAGTTTGATCGTAGTTCTTTTAATGATTTAAAATGCTGAGAAGTTAATATGCTTCTCTGCTTCGGGCCAACACTATGAAATTGGTGTGCTATATCCACTAGTTTAGCTTTACACCAGCTTTGATTATTTGAAGACGTAGGGGTTAAAGTACTCAGTCCATGGTTCAGCGAGACCTACTATAGCCTCGGTAGAGAAAAAGCCTGTCTACATCACCTTACCATTCAGAGGTGATTCAAATAGCCTTTTACTGAAACAACGACTTAAATCAGTCATCAATAAAACCTATTGCGCAGCAAAGGTCATCATCAAAGAAAGAACAAGGTGCATGCTTCATTCAAAACCTAAAGTACATGGAAACGATTGCGTCACATCCCACTGTGTTTACCAATTTAAATGTGTGTGTGGTCACACATACATAGGGAGGAGTAATCGTGATCTCAACATTAGGGTGAGTGAACATGTACCCAAATGGCTTCAGAAACAAATACAATCGAGTGACCCGATAAGAGCAGAGGATAAACATCCATCATCCTCTATTGCTAAACATATAATTGAAACAGGTCACAAGATTGATCTAAATTCAGCTTTTGTAGTGCTGTATAAAAGTGTAAAAGGGCGTATACTAAGGTTCATTGAAGCCTTAGCCATTGTAGTGTTAGTCATTAATTTTAGCCCATAATATATCTTATTCTAGTTTCCGGACATTCCATTCTACTCATTCTACTTGAGTCATGTTTTGACCTTGTTAATTATTCGCTTGTTAGCCTTGACTGTATTCATGTGAGCGTATATGTATGTACACTTGATGTCCCATGACTCATCACATGTCTGTAGTTCATTTTGTCTGCCTATAAATATTGAGTAATGTTCGGCTTGAATTGGAGTTGGCTTCCCAGCCATCTTCCATACGTGTCAAAATTGCTTTGTTATGGCTCTCGCACGCTTAGCATGCGAACGGGCCACCAAAAGTGGTAAGCCCGCCGACGACGAACGCAACGCAGCAAGCTACGTCGATGAAGAGATTTCTGCACTTGATACATTCGACGAACGCACTCAACGGGTCCAGCTCAATCTCTAATCCAACGCACTCAGCAAAGCCTGTGCAACACGACATGGACATGCACAAATCTTATTATCTTAATGTTACTTTGTCCTCATGTCAATTATCCTCATTGATCCATTCGTCGGTTTGTTCAATTACGATTCAAATTATCATTATATGCTTATTATTACATTATTATCAATATCATGACCGAATGTGGAATTATTAATCTTGTTCGTGCTGTCACTAAATTGACATTTTCGCAATCATATTACTCACCGAACAAATTATTATTTTATGAAAATTCCACTCCATGCAATGACATTCAGAACTCATTGGAATATTTCTATTCAAAAACGTGAAATTTTCCTGCTTTAAGTGAGTTCGTTCCAATTTTTTCATGTCATTTTGATCTAATATTACATTCATTCACTTAGTCGAGGTCCGCAATTTATGTTATCACAACATACATTTTTCATTTCGAAATCGCCTCCTATTATGTCTATAGATGCATCTAACTAGCTGATTAGTAACCATTACGCTCATTTTATCTATTCTTCCACGTGCGTAACTACATGCTGCATCACTTATCACTCAAAAACGCTATTCGAGTACTGCAACTACTATTCTATTCCCATCGCACTGCATATCAGAACATAGAGTTTAGAGCTAGCCTCTCAAAGATACACTCTTGTTCGTTACATCCAAGTCAGTCTCATACGTCGCCATCGCTAATCATATGTATTAGTATTTCTGTTATGCCTTGGTACGGTTTTGTAACAAACGAGATCGAGCGCATCTCCCTCAAACCACACAAACCACTCTAGGCTTCATGACCAAAAAGGAATACGACTCTACGTACCTCGTCTACTCAGTCACTATTCTGTTCCTCTGGTCATTCGACTAATACATATTCAACGATAACTCGATGCATCTGTCATAACGCAGACGACAACGTTCACTGACTTCATATTTTATGATTATTATCAATTGCAGTGCAGCAACGAATATCACCCGTCGATGCAGTTATCATTTCACGACTTGACTATTATCATCCTACGAACGGGAGTTACGCATTTAAATTCGAATTCACTCATCGCTAGTCGATGCTATTTATTCTACTGCGGCTCAACAGAACATATATTTAACGTATTTCACTATTTCGTCAGCATCACGGACCAATTTCTGTCATATTCTATTGTACTCATTTTGACGATTTATTTCCCTGTCATACCCACAAACAATTTATTATTATTTTCACGATAATTTGAATCACTCATACAAACGTGTTATTTTATCGTTCAGACAATCACAGCATTAGTACATGTAAATTTTTTGTACGCTCATTAATTTGCTCATATTCGCATGCTAATGTTTCCATTTTTGTCCGCGCTTTTTCTATATTCATGTATTCTTTTGCATAAGTATGACATTTTCATATAATACACTCACCCCTCATGTGACACTACTGTACTTTATCGAGTGTTGTACAATTTTTTGGCTGCTTATTGTTAACGTTAGCTTCATATCACTTCAGTGTTATTTTCGAAAACAGACATTTTTTAAATGTGCTATTTTCTACGAGGGGGCTATGTAGTGTTAGTCATTAATTTTAGCCCATAATATATCTTATTCTAGTTTCCGGACATTCCATTCTACTCATTCTACTTGAGTCATGTTTTGACCTTGTTAATTATTCGCTTGTTAGCCTTGACTGTATTCATGTGAGCGTATATGTATGTACACTTGATGTCCCATGACTCATCACATGTCTGTAGTTCATTTTGTCTGCCTATAAATATTGAGTAATGTTCGGCTTGAATTGGAGTTGGCTTCCCAGCCATCTTCCATACGTGTCAAAATTGCTTTGTTATGGCTCTCGCACGCTTAGCATGCGAACGGGCCACTAAACCATACGAAAATTCAAACCCCCTTTATGTGTTCAAAAACAGTTTGTTCTTACCTTAAACCTACCCTGGTAATATTGACTTATTATCCAGAGTGATTAGGTTTCAAATTGTGTTCACATTATTATTATTACTCTTATCATTATCCTTATCTCCTCTTACCCCGTTTCCTGTCTAGTTGACCTTTTATTTTTATATATAAATGCTCTTAACAAGTATATGTGTGACCAGATTGTTCGAAATGTATTGCGCTAATATATCACATAGTTCTGATAATCTTCGTCTTCTAATATCATTATCGAAATTTACTATATCTCCCCACTAGTTTCTTCCCCGTGTCGTATAGTTGTCTCATATTTCCTCTTGCACCTTTTCACACTGTCGTTGCTAGGTCTTCGACATATTTCTGCTTGTCAGATCTAATGCTCCTTTTCACTTGCTTTTTTGCTTCAGTGTATTCAGCTTGTACCTTGACTTTCTCTGTTCTTATTCAACTGTTGTTAATAGTTGTCTTGTCCTTTCTTTCTTTAATCTTGTTCAGGATTTCGATGGAGATCCGTCCCTTATGATGGTGCTTTTTGCTGCCCAGAACCTCCTGAAACTTTGAAATTAGTGATTCTTTGATCCCTTTCCAGTTGTCTTCCATAGTAGTTTATTCTTCTTTGAGTAGGTTTTGTAAGGCCTGTAACCTGTTGTTGAGAGCTGTTCTGAATTCGTTGGATTTGCCAGTATCTCGAAGGAAGGTTCTATTGAACCTTTGTGATGGTATTTACCCAGTTTTCCAGTGCTTCTTTAGCTTCAGTTTCATCTTGGCAACCACCAGGTAGTGATCCGAAGCTATTTCACCTCCTGTCCTGGTTCTCACGTCTTCCATTGCCCTTCCGAATGTTTTACTGACATAAATATGATCTATCTGGTTCTCCGTGGTGTGGTCCGGTGAGATCCATGTAGCTTTGTGTATGCGTTTGTGTGGGAATATTGTGCTACGTATAACTATTTTGTTGAATGCACATAGATTTGCAAAACTCTCACCATTTTCGTTTTTTTCTCCAAGTCCATGCCATCCCATGATATTTTCATATCCAGTGTCGTCCATCCCGACTTTGGTGTTTAGGTCCGCCATCAGGATGGTCAGTTTTTCCTGGGTACTTCGCTATGATTGATTGGGGCCCCTCATAGAATTGATCTTTAATGTCGTCATTGTTATCATTGGTGAGTGCATAACATTGAATAACATTCATCGTGATTCCCATCTTTGTTTCGAAGGATGCTTTGATGATCCTGAGTTCATGAGATTTCCACTCAATAAGTACATTTCATGCTTCTTTGGACAGCATCTGAATAACAGTATGTGCAGAGCATTTTCTTCATAAATAGAGTAAAGTAGGATCTCTCCTGAATCTACTTTTTTCTGTCCAGCTTTGATTCAGTGGGTTCCGCTGATTTCGAGAACCGCCAATTTTTATCTCCTCATTTCCTTTGTTATTTGACTAGTTCTTCCGGTCTCCCAGTTTGTCCGGAAATTCCATGTACCTATATTAACTGTTGCTCTGGTTGTTAGAAGGGGCGTTGGCCTCGTGACTTCCGAAGAATCTCGGCTTTCATCACGTGACGTCATAATTCTTCCTTCAACTCGAAGGGCAGAGTTTAAATGGTCTAATTTGTTTAATCTGGTTGGTAGTTTTTTAGCAAGGTCTTTTCTACGGGACCGGGTTGCCGACTTTATTCCCAACCCTCCTCATTTACCCGGGCTTAGGACCGGCAGTAACTCTAGAAGAGCTACAGGTGGAGTTTGTTTAGGCGATAATTTATGGATGGCTTTTGGGGTACAATAAAGCAGCCCTGAGAAACTTCGACCACTAACCAGGGTCACAATAGGGCCATAAATTAGTTTTGGGAACTAGGGTCTTGAGTTATGTTTATGGTTTTCATCAGGAACTTGTATCTGTGATAATGTTAAAATGCTGTTTAGCCATAGGCGTTAGTGAATTTCATGCAAAAATCTAAGAGACATCCTCTTAAGTTTGATTGGTTCGCCTGTAAATCATAGTTCCGCCTGGATAAACATAAAAGTTTACTGAGAGAAAAAATGGTGCTGAGATACTTCCCAAGGGCCGTTCTTTGAGATTGAATAATCAGTTTAAACTGATCACAATTTCCATTTATTCCTGATAAGAAATATAATTGTGTTAATAGTCTTGAAGTGATTAACGAAAACTTATACTGTCAACTTTATCGTATTTATGAAGAACAAAATATTACACAGTTTTTTCCATCGATAGATTTGAATCGAACAACAAGGACGAAAGTAGCACGATAACGTGGGTTTATTCATTTTATTTCAACAGTACGGTTTTCTATTATCTGCTCAGTGGTGGATATTGATTTTATAAAATCATTCAACACTATCAATAAGTAGACGACATAAGACATTGCGTTTTACTCAAAGCATCGCTACCAAAACATCTGAACTTAATTTATGTACTCAAGAGTATACTATTTCTAGTCTTGTAATATTCTTGTGACCTCACTTTCTGGCATTTAGTTGCGCGACAGCTCATTTCGCATTTGGAATCACAAGTTCATTTTTTTTAGTCCCATCTTATGTCTGAGATCTGCTAATTTTAATCTTAAAGCCAATCCTTTTTGTATAGTTGGCATTATATGGCACTTAACACTATTTTTTTTCAGTAACATACTTTCATCCGCTTTTAAAACCTGAT